GGAAGGGCAGGTACCGTGGCGGAGTGTAAAAGTAGTTTGAACTGATTTGTTATCGTTAGCTTCAATGTGCCAAATGTCTAGCCATGCGTTGACATCGTTCAGATTACTTTGCAAAAGTTGTGAAGCTACTACAGGATCTGCGTGTTTCGCCATCACTACAGTATCATCCGCAAATGTTGCAGTGTATGTTTTAGCCCTGAGTGGGAGATCTGCTGTGAACAGAGTATATAGAGTAGGACCCAACACACTTCCTTGGGGAACTCCAGCCTCTATTTGAAAAAGTTCAGTGTGACAGCTATTCATTTTAACCATAAAGTGCCGATCTAGTATATATGATTTTAAGACGGAGAAGTAGCTATGCGGGAGTTGAAACTTTAATTTGTAGAGAAGTCCAGTGTGCCATACTTTATCGAATGCTTGTGTTATGTCGATAAAGGCTGCTGTGCAGTATTCTTTATTTTCCAATGCAAGTCTTGCAAAGTTGTATACTCTATTTACTTGTTCAATAGTAGAGTGATGTTCGCGAAACCCGAATTGGTGGTTGGGAATCAGATATCTATTTTCGATAATTGGCTTTAGACGTTTTAGGAATACTCTCTCAAATACTTTTGACAACACAGGAAGTAAGCTGATCGGTCTGTAAGATGTTGCAAGTTCGACGGGCTTACCGGGTTTTGGAATTAATATAATTTGAGCGACTTTCCATTGAGCTGGGTAGTGTTCACAGGTGCAAATTGCATTGAACAATTGGTTCATGAATTTAAAACCCACATCTGGTAGCTCATGTAGCACCTTTCCGGTTATCAGGTCATATCCTGGAGCTTTTCTGGTTTTAATTTTGTTTTTTATGACCCACTTTAATTCACGAGTCAAAGACCTAGGAATAGGAAAGTCTAATTGATGCGGTGTGTGAAGAAAAGCTTCAACTTTAGAGTCTTTCAGATTATTTTTTGAGCAGCGTGGCTGAAAGACTTTACCAAGATGCACTGCAAAAGTTTTCGCTTTATCAGCATCAGTTTTAGCCCATTGCCCATTACTCATCTTTATTGGTGGTATATGCAATGTTGGTGCATTAAGTATGCGTGTGCTTTTCCACAAGGAGTACTCAGTGGCCTCAGAGGGAGACAAGCTTGCTAAGTAAGTTGCAATGCTTGCATTTTTTCTTGCCTCTAGATTTACTTTGAGTTTTTTAGTGGCTACATTCAGGCGCCTCTTATCGTTAGAATCTCTCGTCATCTACCAAACCCTACGTAATTTACGTTTTTCAAGTAGTTGTTCTTTGATATCCTTGTCTAGATGTACAGTCCTACAATTCTGTGTAGACGGAGTTGCAGACCAAGCTGCCTTTTGTACAATTTTGTTGAATTGTTCTACTGCGGCTTCAATGTCATGATTAGTTTTAAGAGGAATATGTGTCGAGAGGTGTTCGCTAATGTAACTACGGAAAATAGCCCAATCAGTTCTCTTGTTGTGAAGTCTTAGTTCTGGAGTTTTTAGGACGATATTCGAATGAAATTCTAACAGAAGAGGAGAGTGGTCAGACGAAAGATCTAACGACGACCGCAAGGTTAGATTATTTATGGGTACGCCCTTACAAATGCAAAAGTCAATGACATCTGGTGTTTTATTTAGATCTGTCGGCCAATAAGTGGGTTCGCCAGTAGATAGGTGAAATAGGTTGCTTTCTTGTATCGTTTTTAATAGCTCGCGTCCTCTGGGTGTTATTAATCTTGAGCCCCAATGAGTATGCTTGGCGTTAAAGTCACCTGCTGCTACGAAATTGGGCCCGAGCGTTTTGAAATAATTTGCAAATTGATGACTTTTAATTGGTTGATTAGGTGGACAGTATATAGAGGCAATAGTTATTTCACCATATATATCTCGTACTGATATGGCTGTTGATTGCAGATAATCTTCATTGTGATTGGTGAGAAATGAGTGGTCAATATTATTTTTTATGATTATTGCTGCGCCACCACGGGCGTGACCAGAAGGATGGTTTGCGTTGTACATTGTGTAATATGGAAGCCTCAGATAACTTCTTGATGTAAAGTGAGTTTCACTAATAAGCATAACATCAATGTTTTTGTCAAGAAGAAAAGTCTTAATTTCGCAAATGTGTTGGGTCAGCCCGTTAGCGTTCCAAATAGCTATATTTAGACTACTCATTATTTGGATGTATTAGCGACAAATGCGGTTAGGAGGTTGAGCATAGAGCTCATTTGTTCCATAACCGTTTTGAGCATTGATTTAAGCTCAGGAAAATCGTTTTGCTGAGCTGAGTTTACGTGCTCTTGAGTGTTTATATTGTTAGATTTAACAACATTTGCATACGTTTGGCTTGTTACATTCAATTTGGTGTTCTGTTGCCTTTCTGTATCAGTTGTTATTTTTCTACGTAGGGCTGGAAACGCTTTTTTCTGGAGTTGTTTGTAGACTGTGCACCCTTTATAGTTAGCCGGGTGATTACCTTCACAAAGAACACACCATACATCATTACCGGGGGATTTGCGTGGGCAATCTGAGGATAAGTGGTTTTCAGGGCATTTAACACAGCGTGGCATATGATTACAGAAATGTTTTGTATGACCATATCGTTGGCACCGAGTGCATTGCGGCAATTCGCGCTTCTTTTTAGGCGCTTCAATGGAAATTTTTGTGTGCAGCAAGTCAGTACAGTTGTAAATTGTTTTCACCTTGTCTGAGGGCTTTAGTCCAACGAAAAACAGAGGAAGTGGTTTTTTTGTAACACGATGTCGAATGTTACTGATATTGACTACTTCATGGCCTAAATTAATTAAATCTTGTTTGATTTCATCAATAGGTATTGATGGATGTAGGCCCTCAACACTACATTAAAGCTTCTATCTTGCTTTAGTTTGTAAGTATGAAATTCCGTCTGCTTTTCTGCAAGAGCTTTGGTAACTTTTGAGTAGATATCCGCTGTGTTGGGCTGTATTTTGACTTCATTATTACCTACAATTTTGAGTACAAACTCATTTGGAGCCACATCATTTAGCAGTGCCCGCAATGGTTGAATGTTACCAACACCCGCTACAAATATTGGTGGTGGTTTAGGAATTTTACTTTCTTTAATTAATTCCGCATGTTCTGATGTTTCTTCCTGATTATCAGCGTCAGGGTTGTCTAGAACCTCAAAACGGTTAGGTGTTGCAAGCCAGTAGCTGTCAAGCTTTTTTTGTTTATTTTTTCGCTGTGCATTTACAGGACTAGAACGCCCACGTTTACCGTTTTGGGGTGAATTACTGTTACTCGCAACTTTTTTATGTACTGCGTTTATAATTGTAGCACTAGTACTGGTTTTCTTTTTAACAGGAATTGGTATATTTTTTTCAGCTTTAAGCTTTTCATTTTCTCTTAGTAGAGATTCGCAACCTTTTTCTAATGACTTGATCTTTTCTGTAAGATGTTTTATGCTGTCTTCAAGCTCATTAATCTTAAGGGACTGCATCGAGTTCGTAGGTTGATCATTTCCTAGCGATTGTGATGAGTTATTATTTAGTTTCATTTTATTGGCTGTGGCAATTTCACTAGCTATTTTTGCTATATTTGCTTCGGACATTGTTTTGTTTGGATGTTTGGCTGTTGGATGGTTATTTATTTTAATGTCGTCTGAAGTAAGCATTACATAGCTGTTTAGGCCATTTTCACTGATTTGAGAGTGCCGCCGTGTAGCACTATTACTCATACACTTGTTACAAATTTATAAATAAGTAAATTTATTTATTTTTATTTATTTTTATATAAGTTTGTTTTATTTTACTTTTAGTAAAATAGTTGAAAAAATAAATATGTAATATTTGTTTATGTGTTTAAATTTAATTCTTGAAAGTTACACTGTGGCAACACTACAAATATAATTTCTTACTTTCGATCATATGCTGTCTCTATCAGCTGTTTGAGCAAAACTTAATTTTGATTTTTTTGTGTTGGTTTTATTATTTCTTTGCAAACTTAAAATTTAATTTGATTAACAAAAATTTTTTATATTACAAAAAAAAAAAACTGATTAACACCGTCCACTGGCACTGTTTTTTCACAGATTCCTTTATTTAAGGTCTATTGTTCAATTAATTCGCTCATAAATTATTTTATAAAATTGAGTTAATGATTTTGATCGTAAGCTATAAAGTAAAATAAGACATTTTATATTCATATAATATGATAATATCATATCAATCATACAATAATTTCGTGAAACACAGCAAGTAATATGTTGATGAACTTTCGCAACAAATTAACAAAATTCCACGTTCGAACATACAAGTCAAATACAGCTTTGGGTCAGTTGGCTAATAAACACTGACTTTGAGCTTTATATTTGGCAGAGTAAACGCAGAACCTTTAGTACGTGCTGTCTCAAAAAATTGTTTTTGAATAATTAAGTATAAGAAATATTTTTAACACCACTGATAATATGTGGTCAACCAAAAATTTATTAATTAAAATAATAAAAAAAAAATAAAATTTTTGTTATTGTGATTCCTTACTGTTTGAAACTTCTCAAAAAAATATTAAAAAAATTTACAATAATTCTATAATTTATTTATTTATAAGTCTATAAATCCCTAGACTTATGTATACACCTTCTTCTAAAATTTTTCTGTTATAGGTCTGGTGATTTCTGATAAATTTTTTTGCTTCATAATTCTACACGCTTAATTGTTGCGTTTTATATTTAGTGTGGCACTCAAAGTTATCAACATGTTGTATTAAACTATGTATACAGCTTCCATTACATCACATTCATTTCAGCAACGTTAGTTTGCTTATAAACATTAATTGTGCAACAGAAACTAAAGTGTCCTGAAAGAGCCTTTAATAGAACTCCGAATGTAGCCGCAACAATGTTTCCAACAAACAAATGATGCTTGAAATTAAATGTTGATATCATATTTTTACATATGTACTCACATACAACTTTAGCTCATGCCTACGACAACACCCAATTTGTTGTTTATTATTTTGTTCATGCATAACTGTCAGTGCAAATGTTTCAGCAACATTGAAATAATTGTTGAGAAATGTATGTGATGATTTTAAAATTGCTAAAAATGTTGCCAGAAGTAGAAGGCAGCATTCATGTTAGTATGCGAAACGCAAGCCGTGGAAGCTTTTCTATACGGATGGAGGTCACTTAATATTATTTATATTGTATTATTTTATTATTATATTTATTAATACAATATCAATTCAATTTAAAAGGCATTTGTTTTTAAAATACTAAATTATTTTTTTATATTATTGGCTTTAAAATGTTCAACTAAAAACTTGCATAAATTATTCAAATTAAATTTGGTGTTGATACAAAAAGTATTTATTATCAAACCGTTTGCATATCATGCTTATTATTACTTTTTTTATCATTATTAGGCAAAATATTTTATTATCAGATGTTTAGTTTATTTTTTGTAATTTTATTTACTATTTCATTAAACAAATATATTCCATGCATTCAGATAAGTGACTGCATTGAGAATCAAATTTAGAACAAAAATGATGTTTGTAATATTAACAACACCAAAACAGTAAATAAAAGCTAATTATGAAATAATTGCCTCCTAACTTTATACCTTTAATAAATGAGATAAATAATATTGCTATTTAATATTTAATATTTAATATTTGAATTGTTTAGTTAATACTGCAAATGCAGACATGTGTAAACAAATATCTTTCGTTAAATAAATAATAAATAAATTTTATCTCGAATTTATAATAATTTTTTTCATTTCAAAATCAAATATTTAATCTTCTTCATAAGAGAAGGAAAAACTTTTAATTATATATTTATATTTATGAAATAGTTGTATAATCACTGCCCTACATATACCTACCCTTACACTGTAAGTTCTTTAGAAAAAATATATACACATTAAATAATAATATAAATTTTTCTCGACACAATATTAATAATATTTTTAATAAAATATTGAAATTAAAATTATTTAAATAAATTTGAAATAAATTTTGATTTGGTAAAGTTATTCATCAATTTGATGTTAGTTCTTAAATAATAAAATGCTTAAGTTTATTATTATTGATTGAAAATTAATATTAAAAGAATAATTTATTCTCATTATTTTTTTTTTTTCAAAAATATTGTTTTGTATAATATCATTATTATCACATTAAATCCATTTTTGCATTTACTTAACACACATTTAAGCTCTGAGATTATAGCTATAAAAATTCTATAAAGCATCTCAGTTCGATGAAGTGGAATAATGCAAATACGAGAATAAATAAATGCTGCTTATCCTGCGAAATTGGCAAAAAATAATATAGGACTTTATGGATAATAAAAGAAAAAAATTAAAAATGCACATAAGCGATTCCATGAGAATTATAGTATATATTCGATTAGTATTCCCTAATTATAAATGTAGCGAAAAAATGGGTTTCAAAAGTTTTTGAAATACAATACATGATCTCAAATATGAAGAAAAAGTATATAAATTTAATATAATTTACAACAATATCATTCAACATGATGTGATTTAATTAAATAAAATAATTTTTAAAATTCATAATTTTTATAAAATTTTATAGGTATGAATAATATACTAATGTATGTTTAGTATATTAAAATTTTATGGAATACACCAACTTTTTATAGTTTGGAAGAGAAATCAAGGAAGGCAAATAAGGTGGAAAATTTTTGTCGTCTTTTAGGTTTAAGACAAAGCTAAATTACTACTTGGCAGCTAAAATAGTAGAAGATTTAGTCAGCACTGTTAGTTAGTCCACTGTTAGTGGACTAGTCACTTTAGGCTAGTCACTAGTCACTTTAGAAAATTTTTATGAACTGGTACACAGTAAACATCCAGCGGCTTCGCTGGCTTGGTCATGTCGTGAGAATGGATGAAAACGTAGAGGTAGACCGTGTCTCCGGTGGAGTGATCAAGTTGAGGGAGCACTAATTGGACTTGATATACGAGACTGGAGAAGGCGTGCACGCAGCAGAGGTGCCTGGAGAGACATGCTGCGTCAGGCCGAAACTCGGTAACGGGTTGTTATGGCCACATAAGTAAGTAAGTACACAGTAAACAAAAACACCTTCAACTCTTAGAGTCAACTGACTCTAAAACAATGGAACTGAGAAAAACTTTAGGCTATAATTACGTTTTACTCTGAAATTTTTGGTCCCAGTATTCCCCACAATTCCCATCCATACTTAATAACAACTACAATTGCTGGAAAATAAAACACAACTGTAGGAAATATATCTAATTAATTTTATACTACCAATATTATTATTCTTGTTTCTAGATATGCATTAAGTCACTCATAATCGAGCAATTCTGTCAGATAATTATGGTGATCTCAGGGTGATCCCTGATTAGTAATATAGTGAGTATGTTAGCTTTAAACATGTCCACACTATCATAAATAGAAACACAAATCCACCTAAATATACAAATTCAATTATTTAAAGTTGGGTTAATACTGAATGTATGCATAAATTAATATAGTACTGGCATAGCAATAATTAACAATATAGTCGATATAGTAATTTTAAGATTATAGAGAGTTCAAGACGTGTATATTAATCCAATTTTTTCATTAGCTTTGAACTACTTGAGCAATCTACTACTAATCTACTACTTTTTTAATTTTTTAATTTATTGCTACTCACTCAATCGTTTCACTAATCGGTATATCTGTCTATATATATATTCGTATATATGCAAAAGATTCGAAGGTAACCTGAGTTGGCAATTGAAAATTAAGAATTCTTGACCAAGCATAGGTTATATCTTCCCAAACTTTAACTGATTGTTAGATTTGCTAAGGCATGCTGCTGTTTTAAACGCATATAAATTATCCGAAAGACTTGTACTAAGATCCTAAAGGATATCTTGGGCAACGGTTTATAATACTCCATACATTTCTTTAGATTCAATATATTAGTATAGCCAAAAATACTTATTATTTTTATTATTTATAAAAAGTCGTTGTTACTTTAATGCACATATAGTACATATACTTATATATTATATATATCTGCTTGAAAAGATTGAAAAAATTTTCACTCTACTCGCTGCGATAATGACGTACAGCTAATATCAATGAATAAATATATTTGACACTCCTTAAATCCCACTATAATTTTTTATATTAGTTAGCATACTTACGTAAAAGTGAAACACAAGTATATATGAGTGAGTTGCCACTAACTGCATTTTATAGTTTTTATTATTAAAAAGGACTAACTTGAAGTGTTTTTATGTCCTTTGAATGGTCTCTATTGCTCCACAATATTATTTATGTTTGCTTCTCATTAAAACAACGAAAATGTTTATTGATTGTAAAATTCATTTTAATGGCCCTCCATTACTAAATGTGACGGATTTCGTCTGCGGAACTGTACAAGTCCTCTGACTTTTCGTGAACTTTAAGGAAACATTTATTGCTAGTTAACTTTTATTGCTTTTCCTGCTAATAAATATTATATTACCTTTTTAAAATCACTTTTATCATAGTTGAGTAAAATTATATTTAACC